CCAGGTGCCCCTCTTTCTTTTTTTTAAAGGACTTTAAACCAATTGCACTTTTTTTCAGGTTAGTCCAGCTCCACTAAATGTAAATTTCATTCTGTTTCACATTTCAGAAACCAAACACATTGTGAATGCCTAGTACTATATATGTAAACGTTTAGGGCTTTCCCCAAATGTAGTTTACCTTTCTGTTTTAACACGCTATGCCCTCCACTCTCAGCAGTGAAAAGGTGTCACAAATTGTGCTGCACTAAGTTCTGGGTCATTGTCAGTTGCTTATTCAACAAACTTGCCCAGAACCTCTATCAGTGTGGCACATTTTAAAAAGCATATTAATCATCGGGAAGTAGAAACAATCTCCCTCCATGGTCCCCTAGGAGGGTCCCTGCTCTCCTGGGAGCTCTGGTGTCTATCTCGCTTACGTGGCTTCTCCGTGCGTGACCTGGATGGCGCCCAGATCTAGGAGCCCAAGTCGTCGTCGTCTTTTCTTTTTTAAAGATTTTATTTATTTGACAGAGAGGGAGAGAGCACAAGTAGGCAGAGAGGCAGGCAGAGAGAGAGGGGGAAGCAGGCTCCCCGCTGAGCAGAGAGCCCGATTCGGGGCTTGATCCCGGGACCCTGAGATCATGACCTGAGAGGAAGGCAGAGGCTTAACCCACTGAGCCACCCAGGTGCCCTGAGCCCAAGTCTTCTTTCTGAAACTGGGGAAATCATCACTGAAAACCACTGATAATATAAACTTGAAGCAAGAATTAAAATACTCCTATAAATCGTACAAATAAAATGGACTGTGAAATTGCTATGTTTATTAGATACAAACAAACCCAAAAACAAAACCCTGGGATAACAAAGTATTCATTAGTTACGATATTCCGGGTTGAAATACAAAATCTAGCTCTAATGCAGTAACTATAATTTACTGAGCACCTATGACATGCCAGGCACTTGGTATTAATTATCTTTAGTTCTCATAACAGGTCTGTAAGATAAGAATTCTGTTTTTTACAATTCTGAAAAGGAAGGTTGGAAAGTTTTAACAACATACTTAGAATCACAAAAGTGCTACAGAGAGAACTCTTTTTTTTTTAAAGCCTACTTTGGTAATTTTAATAAAAATACCCTTGCTTTCCTACTTCTAATTTCTATCTAAAGAATCATTTTCCATCAGTTTTATAGCAGGCGTTTAAATGAAACTAAAAATATATTCATCTTATATATGCACTACTTCTGCCTGAGAGATCAGAAAGAAAATTAAATAGTATTCTAGTCTTAACTCATCCCCACATTTACTTATTATTTTAACATCCTGTGTACAAATTATGTAATAGGTTTGCCTAACTTAGCGTGAGTGGGCAATTAATTTTAAAAGTAAAAGCATGTTCTAGTTTATGAGACATGAAATGGGTGAAATCTGTCCGCGTTTTTTGTTAAAATAAGAGTTTGAATCTGAAGTAGATAGGTATTTTTAAATGCTTTTTTTTCTTCTTACTTTATGAGGATCTTACAAATGGCTGAATATAGAAGTTTACTATGAATTTTCACGAGCTCTGGCACTTCCAGAGCTACGGACGTGCTACAACATTGTATTGTGACTGACAGGATAATGCTGCTATACTAAAAATTTCCTGTCAACTTGTTCTGTCCTGAAATGCCTGGAGCACATCAGTCCCAGCGTCAGATTAAAATACAAGATGGTGAGAAGAGCAGACGCTGCACCGTCCCGCCCGTCCAGCAGGGGGAGCTGGTGGGGCCGCACGAGTGTGGGGGCAGACGTGCGTCTTCTTACTTACAGGAGGGCAGACCGTGTTGACATGCCTTCAGGATGCCGCCTCGTTCTGAACCACGGTTCTCCTGGGGAGGATTTCCACCATGTGCGGGGAGTGGACTTTAGAGTCGGATGTAAATTTTCAATTATTTCCGGTGGAAATTTTCATTTCCACTGGGAACTAAGTGTTGGTCGTCGGAGTGGACATGAGGCTGATCCGACTGTGACACTGTTTATCTAAATGACATCCATCTTAGGAATTCATTTCTGTGGGCTCCACGTTCTAGAAATCTCGTGCCCTGCTCCCCCTCCTGTCTGTCTGTGTCTGTACATTTCACGGTACATTTACCTCCATTGCCAGATACTCCCCTGGTGCGGGTCTTGTTCTCCCCCTTCAGCACTCGGCTTCCAAAGTTCAGCTGTCCCGGTTACTGTCCCGCGGTTACCGCCTTCCTCTCCTGCGGACATGCTTTCCCTGGCTCCTCTGCTTACCTAGGCTCATTCTTAAACCCCAAACTAAACAAAATCCTCCTCCAACACATCTTCCTCCTCTTTCTTCCCTTCCTCCGTCAACTTTCTAGAACACCGATCTAGCTCTATTTATTCTTCTTCTTTTTTTTTTTTTTAATTTTTAAGGAGGCTCCATGCCCAGCGTGGGGCTCGAACTCCCAGCCCTGAGATCAAGAGTCACGCGCTCCTCCGACTGAGCCAGCCAGGCACCCTGATCCTTAATTTCTTGACATCCTTGTAACTGGGCTTCTATCTTCAATGCCAAATGGAATTCCTGAAAATAGTGGCTTCCTGGCTGTCATGTCCTCTGATCGTTTTTCAGTACTACCCACAGGATAGTCTATCCTTAAAGCCTGCTCTCCTTCCAGTCCTGATGGCATCTGTGGCTCCTTGGTTTTTCCAACACTCGTATTTTTCACGCTACTCTTCTCCCCTCCTGACCTGTAAATACATTTCATGCAGAAATGACCTGTGACACTGGCTATGTACCAGAAATACCTGGGCACTCAAGAAATACATTATTATTTGGGCTCTATTATAGCCCCATTGATTCAGATTCTCCAAGAGTAGAGTCCTAGAAGGTGTATTTTTTTTTTTTAGGACTTCCCTGGGGATTCTGACTTCTGGCTATAGTTCTAGATGGTTCCTCCAGATCCTATCACCTTCCCTCACTACTCTTTCTTCTGGAGATTTCATGATGTTTTGGCTTTACAAGTTACCACTCTGCTTAGGTAACCATTTCCTAGTTCTTGGTTACAAGGAAAAAAAAAAAATCATTCTGTGGCTAAGTTTGGGAAAGATTAAACAACAGAGAGATTATTTTACTGAAAGTCTTGTCAAGGCCGTACCTACACTTCATAACTCTAGGACACTCGAGGCCCTCTTTAGTTCATCAGAAAGGGTTGTGGGGAGATCCAAATTGATCTCCTACATCCAGCATCCACTTTAAGCATCACGGCCGGGTTATGAGCATAAGGAATAACTCTCTTCCTACATCCTCTCCTCAAAAACCTTCAGGTACCTTTGGATTAGGGTCAAGTTTAAATTCTCTGGCTTGTCACTCAAGACCTTAAAAGGTCTGGCTTGAACCTTTTCAACTTGTTTCTATCTCTCATTATAAGATAAAAAGTACACAGACTTAGAAGTCAGACATATTTGGGTTTGAATTATGCTTTTCCTTGGATAAACAATTAATACCCTGCAAGTCTCATCTGCTTGTAAATGAAAGGAAGATAACACTGCTTCCACCTGAAAAGGTTATATTGAGGATCGTAAGTTGATCCTTCTCACACCCTGGGTGCAAGCCCTTACTCTCACCTGCTAAAAACCAGTGGCTCCCAGATTTCAGTACACGTTCTTATTAGCTGGGGGAATTGTTACAAAAGGCGATGCATGAACTACCTCTGGACCTGCACTTGGTGAGTTTGTGTGTGGGATGGTGTCTAGAAGTGACCTAGGTCTCTCTAGAAGTGACCGTTCAGTATAGTGGCCACTGGCTAGGGGTGCTATGGAGCGCTGGAGTCTGGCTTGTCTGAACTGAGACGTGCTCTAAATGTAACAAGGCCAATTTTAACTCTTACTGTCAGAAGAATAATGCAAAATATCTCATTAGCGATCACATGTTGAAATGATATTTTGGCTATATGCATCTAAATAAAATATATCCTTTCCTATCAACTTTACCTGTTTCATTTTTTAATGTAGGTACCAGAAAATTTAAACTGAGGTATGTGCCAACATTATATTTCTATGGAACAGCACTGGTCTAGACGCTTCTCCAGATGATACCTGTGGTAGAGAACATCAGAGCACTTCCTAAGAAATAATACAGGAAATTCCAAGCTCTCTGAAAAGAGTGGACACCTTTCCCGATTTTTAGATCCCCACCAGTGTTCAGAACATTGTGGGTAATTAACTTTATACTAATTGAATTTAGAGGCACTTAAAATGTTATGTTATCACAATTTGTAAAAAGAACTACATTAGAAGTTTTTGCTTTTTTTAAAATCCCATTCCTAAGAAATTATTTTTGAATGTACATTTTTAAAAAAAGATTTATTTATTTATTTGACAGAGAGATAGACAGAGTGGTAGGCAGAGAGAGGGAGAAGCAGGCTTCCCACCAAGCAGGGAGCCCAATGCGGGACTCGATCCCAGGACGCTTGGGATCATGACCAGAGCCAAAGGCAGACGCTTCACCAACTGAGCCACCCAGGCCCCCTTGAATTTACATTTAAGTGAAACAAAAGAAATTTGAAACTCTAACTTCAATTTGTTCCCAAATCAATAAAAATAATTTTCGAAAAGAACTGGCCTTTTTTCCCTATGGTTATTTGACTCGCGTAGAAACAGACTATTTCTCCGACTAGATTTCAAAACTGCCAAAATATCACCGAACTCGGGACCTCCCTTACAACCAGCGGTTAACACTCGGCCGGGGACATGCGCTAATTTTAATGCCACAGTAATGTAGCCGGATGAGGGAAAGGAAAGAGAGACTTACAGGGGGGGAGAGGGTCTGCCTTTAAGGACAAGTGCGGTGAGAATGCTGACCCCCTCCCCGAAGCAGAATGGCAGAAAACCAGAGGTGACACAACTAGGACACACGTAGGCCAGCGCCGGGATGCGGGACCACCTCGACTTCACCGACTGCCAGGAGAGAACCGGCCCTGAAGCGAGCAAGCCCCCCCGCCCCCAGGAGGGGAAGCAGGGGCGCAGATGCCCGCCTCACCTCATGGCCACGTTGCTGCCGTCGATGACCACCGGCCTCAGGTTCTCGCCGTCGTCCGCGAGCGGCTCCTGCATCGGCGAGTCCGAGCGCTGGGACTCCAGGGAGGACGAGTCCCGCGGCGCGCTGGGCATCGCGCTCACGGCCGGCTCGGCGTCGCTCTTGTTTCCCAGCTTGACCAGCTCTCCCAGGATGTCGTTGATCAAAGCATCGGTCCCGAGTTTGTGGAGCACGAGCTGCACCTGCTCCTCCGAGTAGCCCAGCTTCAGCGCGAACTCCAGCTTGGTCTGGTACTCCCGCAGGGCGTCGGGGGGCTGCGCCGCCTCCCTGCAGGCCGCCGGCGCCTCCGCGGGCTGAAAGTCTCGCAGCAGGTCACTGCGTGTGAGCACGCGGGGCTCCAAGCAGGGCGACCGGCACAGCTGTCTGTGAGTCTTGGTCAACAAGCACGGCTCCGCCGAAACGCTCAGTCGTTCGGACTCGTTGTCAGAATGTGCGCTTCCGTCCGAGTCGCCCGAGCTCGCGTTCCCTCCCGACACGTCTTTCTCCTCCTTCCCGGAGTGCACTTGATCCATCGTCGGCTTCTCTACCATCGACCACGGCACAGGTGCACTTGAGTGTGGGTCAGTGCTCTCCACATAAAGGTGGCCGAGGTCATGCCCCAGATGATCCTTCAAGCCCATGAAGCTGTTACGTGTACTTGACTCCACTTTGCTATTTTTTCTGTATTCCTGAATGCAAAGCACCCCGTATTCCTAGAGAAAAAACATGTAAGACACTTAGAATTTTGGACGGTTTCATTTGTTCCCATAAAGAACGTGAAAGAACATTGCCCGACTATGGAATATCCATCGCGGAGGTTTCTCTCCATCTCCCCACCCCTCGCAACACCTTTGCCCCAGATAGTACCATGCCCTGTTTTCCAGATAAAGCAGCTAGGAAGTAGAATGCCACGCAATCCCTCTAAGGCAGCAAAGAAAATAACTAGTGGAACTGGAGTTGTTTTTTTTTTTTTTTTCTTTTTTGAACCCAGTTTTGCGTGACTTTTCCCATTCTATCGTGCACTCCTCGACCTTTCGTGGAAGAGATCTCTCCACTGTCAGAAAGGCCAGTGTTTGAGCGACACCTACAATATCGCCGAAAGGCAGGTTCTAGATGAACTGCGATAGGTTACGTACATTTTCTCTAAAAGAATTCATAAACATTTGTAAAGATTATTTGAAGGGAAAGCCATATGGAAAGAAAGGAAAACACTAACTTACTATACTTGAAAAACTGACATTAATTTGGATCAAGCTTAACAACAATCTGAAGACATTCCAGATAGCATTTAGGAGGAGTGCTAAAAGAGCACAGGTGACAACAGTCAACAAATTCGAACAGTCAACAAAGAACTAAATAATCACCGAGTGAATTATACTCCAGTTAGGAGACGAATAGTTTTGCCCTAACAATCCTTATTTTGTGGATACAGAGCATAGTATCAGAATACAAACTTTAATGGTATGTTACCCTTACTAAGGGTCAGGGACAGTGCCATCTATTTCATTCCAGGGGGGAAAAACTCCTTTATTCTCTGCACATTTACAGAAAGCAGAGAAATGGTACAGGTCACATGAAATTAACAGCAAAGAGTTAAAGTACACTGAATACATGTTATCTTGATTTCTGAATCTAATGTAGGAAAATACTTCTGGGGGCGCCTGGGTGGCTCAGTGGGTTAAAACCTCTGCTTTTGGCTCAGGTCATGATCCCAGGGTCCTGGGATCGAGCCCCGCATCAGGCTCTCTGCTCTGCAGGGAGCCTGCTTCCTCCTCTCTCTGCCTGCCTCTCTGCCTACTCATGATCTTTGTCTGTTGAATAAATAAATACAATCTTTAAAAAAAAAAAAAAAGCTTAAAAAAAAAAAAGAAAATACTTCTGTACTATATCGATAATTAATTACCCACTATCCGCATTTGGTTAAAAAGTCATCTTCTCTCCTACTTCGCCTCCCCTCCCTCCCACAGGAATGCTTTTACGGTTTAAAACACTTCTGCTATTTTGTCAATGTTCCTTAAAGTCTCTTGGGAATCACTGCTATTTCTTGACCGGGAATAGGTTAGCAAAATAAAATTATTTCTGCCCTTGTGTTTCAGCGTGAGGACATAGTCACATGAGCAGTTTACTTCCTAGGGCAACTCCGGGGTTCCATCCAGGGATAACGCCAGTCTGGCAATGGTGGCTGGACTTCAGACTGTCATATGACACCTATTTAAATAATCTAAAGAAGCAAATTGCAAAAACATTCTATTCTAAAGCTCTTATTTACACTAGAAAGGAGCTATTAAATAAATGTTAAGAGAAAACGCTAAGTGTTTTTCTAAGGAGTCACATATCGGAATGCATCCTTGGTGAACTTATTAGGGAGGGAAATATGGCTACATAATGAAATAAATTATATTAAGTGTGATAAACACCCGAGAATAGAACATGGGATCTTTAGCTTGATAACGCCGCATTTAAGATCTCCTCAGCGGAGAACTCCACATTCTACAGGAGTTTCTTCAGGTTGAGAAGACAGATAACATTGAGAAGACAGATAACATTGTCCTCGTAATACAGCGCTGCTGAGTTTTAAAGCAACATCGAGCTCTCCTGACTCCAGACAGCACAGCTGATAAAAAGAAATACTCCTTAGGAGAGCTCTCCATACATCTGCTCTGTGACGGAGCTGTATCCATTTCAAAAATTGTTTTTCCTATTAATATGGATATGCATGAGCCCAATAATTTAGAATTTGAGGAAGGGATTTTGAAAGCAAATCTTTACACTCCGTGATTTATTAACTACTGTAATATACTGACACCATAATGCAAGTAACAAATCACAACAGAATCCTAATGAAGGGATACAGTTAAAAGGAAAATCTGCACTGTGGCCTGCGCAGAGCTCCCCACCAAAAGTATCTTGAACAAGGAAAACCTATTGGAAGCCGGGCTGCCTGGCAACCAGAGGCTGGTTGCTAAGCTGCACTCCTTTAACACGCCACCGTGAATGCCAGCCCAGTGAAACAAGAATTTTGTATGAACAAAAGCCTATAAAAGAGACTGGGACTTAAGTGCGTCTGGTTTACCCTCCGAGAACAATGCAGCTGCCAAACCAATCTGGAAGCTCCGACATCATTGTTCTGTCAACCCCACAGTCTGCTTCGACTGCAGGAAGTGTATTTAATGGGCAGCGTTTCTGATCTCCCCGGAAAAGTTTGAGTTTTACAGAAGTGCTGCTGTGAGATAATTCTTCAAGATAACGACTCACTGACCAAATCCCGGACTTGAACTAGGAAATATTATTTTAATATTGGGCTCAAGTGTTTTCCTTTTGGACAGTTTCAAACAAGATGAATACTGCATGAAAAACACAGCCACTGGGGAACATGGACATGAAATGTTTATAGAGAATAAGCCAAATTAGTCTTCATTTTCACAGCATTCAAGAAACAAAACCAAATACTACAAAGTTTTTAAACGAAAAATTATCCACGCTAAGGATCTAAATCTTTCTCTGTCACTTCAGTCTGATATAAAAAGAAGTGTTCATGATAGTGTGTAAATCTGCTCTACTGTATCACTTTCTTATATGGCTATAATATAGGGAGGGAAACTAGGAGAATACCAACAATTTGCTTTTTATAACATTAAACCAGAGAAAACTCATTTGTATACACAAGTGTATTTAGTGAATACCACACACTTTTAACTTGTAATTTCCAACTCATCTAACTATAGAAACTATGGAAGTAAAAAGCTTACAGTCACTGAGCTAACATGATTGTTAATACTGACCTACCCTACTTTAAAAAAAAAAAAAATCAATATCTAATCTGGTTAGGCACCATATTTTTTCTTTTAAGATACTCTAGTTAAACTTCCTCCCCACACTGACAGGACTCTCTTCATGTTCCGTACTTCACCGGTTACGTGAGAGAAAGTTACCCAATGTCATCTTGTCCACAATAAGCAGTTAAATAGTTATTTTTAGTTGCAATCGATCAATAGTCTAAATATGAAATAGTACAAATATGGGCAAAGGAGTTCAATTACCAGGCCTAGATCATCTCCGCTACATTATCCAAATCTGAAATAACCTTACTTGTTGTGACCGGCTGGGAAACATTTGGTTTTTAAAACTTTGTTCTGAAATGCTTCTTCACCCACTTGAGATCAGTGAAAGATTGCCCTGACTTCACATGAGACTTAAATTTTTCCCCACAATATCTTGAAATCACTCAATAAAAAAATTAAATGCTAGTCTTTAAGATTTAAAAGCTGAAAAAAATATTTTCATAGGTTGTAGTACTTGTCAAAGTAACGTCATGTGTAAAACTTATGAGCTAGTATTATAAGAAATCTCAGGACAAAGAATAGTAGAGAATCTATTTTTGTTCAGTGCCTTAAAAATGATCAATATAATGTTGAAAAAGATAGCAAAGACTCCATCACCAAATTTATTATTATAAGTAAGGTAGGAAATATTTTCTTCTTAATTTCTAAATCATTTATTAGACTTTTAAGTTTTGCATTTACTCAAATGCAAATGTATGCAAGTCATCTTTAAATTAATCAACTATTAACTGATAAGGATAATTCTCATTTCATGAAGCAGCAGCACAGACAAAATGTCACACACAAAACAGGTGTTTATATTCCCATAGTTACTAAAAAAACCTTACAAAACTGCAAAAAAATATGGCTTATCTTTGAAGTTTTATATCAGGAATCCATTGCAATTGGCCTTTACACACTATATTCATGAACACAGGAGGCACTGGGCAAAAATATAAATGGTCTGAATGCAGATTTCTACACTTACAAAGCTAAAGATTCCCTCCAGATACTGTACTGCAAACGAAAATAAGTTTTCTTGCTAAAGGCCTAATAAGTTAAAAATCAAATAACAGTTCTTGAAAAAGACCCAAATTTTCATGCTAATCTTACAGATGATGAAGTATAACCAATTATTTTAATTGTCAAAAGAAACTTTGTATTCGCTGAAAGCAATATGGTCATTTACTTGAAATTTGTTGTAGACACACAAACTCCCCCATTCGGTGAGGTCTCTGAAAGTTCTCATTAGATGACTTGGATAATCCTTCACCTCAAATCCAACGGGAAAATTTTTTTTTTTTATTTCTAAAGAGCCTCATATCAATTCATTAGGAATATGAGAACACGATGTTGTTAAATCCATTTGTTTGTTTGCAAGGTAAAGTTACAATGCCATAAAGTGGGTTCTGGTTGTTATCCAAATGGCAATACTAGGAGAACAATGAAAATAAAATAATGAATATGTAATAAATACTACTGCTGTAGTCTCCGTGTATTTAATTACCATTGTATTTCAGGGAGTGCTGTTGTCTGCATCCCTCTGGCTAACAAAGGAAGGATGGCCCTTTGAACAGATTGGTTAATGCTCTGGGGCAACAGATGTCCTCCTGGAACTGCAGGAGACCAGCAACTGGTGGCCTGCCCGTCTTCTGAAAACTTTCAATAGACTCATGCATATGTTCACACAATAGGGCATGTGGTAGAAATGAAAACCTCTTTTTAACCCTTTATGCTCGCTCTTTCCCTCCCAACTGACAGATGAAAGTCTTTGTCTCCTCCTCCTTTCCCCATCACGGGACTCCTGCAAGCAGTAGTTCTTGGAATGACACCTTCAGCCTGATTTTTGAAACGAAGGCAGAGGGAAAAAAATTAAAAGATGGGAGAAATTA